ATTCTTGCATCTGAAGAAGTGAGGTTCTTACCCACGAAAGCTTATGCTCCCAATACTTCTGTTAGTCTCAAAGGTGCCACAGGACCCTCTGTTGCTTTTTGCAGATTATTTGTGAGATTCTGGCCTGAATGGCTCAAACAGGGTAAGGGGGTATTGAACACGTTGGTGAATCTAGGATTGTATTTTTCATCTACTGCTTCCTTGGTTTTTGTCCTCCAAAGTAACGGCCAGATCATGCTATCATGGCACTCTCTGGAGTACAGTGTTGGCTTATTTGGGTGGGGTTATATCAGTTAAATAGTGGTATATTGACATTTGTGTCCCTTGCAGATATAAAGATATAAAACTAAGTTTTACATAATATATTTTAAATAAGCCACATTTTAAAATGAAAACATTTGACTTGACTCCTTCTACCTTAAGGATAACTATGTGTTCCAATTGGATTCCACAGTAGTTCTAAAACAAATTGGTCTGTATGTAGAAGTATCACAAAAAAGTGAGAGTTGGGTTTTGCTGTTAGGGACCTAAACAGGAAGGATATGGGGAAGTGTGTTTAGATTCACTTCTGTGCTGCATGTCCCCTTTACTTACGTTATTTGGAGCATAGGGCACATAACCTTTTATTTAACTTGTTTTTCACACACATTTGCAGTTCTCTTTTAGGGTTAATATCCATGTTTAACTTACTGCAGTTGTCCATAACTTGTTTTATTGTTTACGTATTGCAGCATTAAGACATGCTGAAGAAAAGACCACTGATCATGTGGTTTTAATAGAGAAAATTCAGGAAACTGACAAGCTGAGCATCTTTAATACTTGAGTGTATTTTAATAGTATTCAAAAGACTTTTTTTTTTTTTCTGATAATTTTGAAATCTTGGAATCCGAGATATGATATATTTCATTTTGTTATTTCAGGATGAAAGTAAAAAAACTGCCTATGATTCTAGCTCTCCATCTGAAGAGATTTAAATACATGGATCAGCTACATCGATATACAAAACTCTCTTATAGAGTAGTGTTTCCTTTAGAGCTTAGACTTTTTAACACTTCAGGAGATGCCACCAATCCTGACCGAATGTACGACCTTGTTGCTGTAGTAGTTCATTGTGGGAGGTAATAAAAAGTTTGTCACATTGGGGTTCTTGTATGAAATTATTAACATTGTGACAGAAATCTAATATCACTTAATTTTAAGTAATCTCTAAAATGTTTTAAGGAATTATGTAGCACAGAAGGAAACATTGCAGAATGCATTTGCCTTTGTTAAGTAAGTTCTTCAACAAAAGATACGTTCAGATTTTAACAGAATTTTTCCTGGAACAATTTTATATGTTTTTTTAAAATAGGCTGATTTTGTCTCTTCTCCCTGCTTCTAAAGCTTTCAAGATCATAGTATTATGCGAGTTGATGGACGTTTAAGAAGTATATTCTATTTTTAAAGTTTGTGCACTTGTGTTCTAATTTTACTTTTCAAGCATAGGAGCCCCAAATGGAACACTGATCACACATCTACCATAAGATTGCCTCCTGTGGTTGGAGGTTGGGGTGCCATTATTCAGTCAAGGCAGTGCTGCACCTGCTTTATTAATCTGCTTAAGTGGTTAATGGGACCTGCCAGTTTCCAGCTGGCTCTGAGGGAGTGTGCTGTTTTGCTGATAGAATAATGTAACAAAATCCTGGGTGGACCTTTTTGTCTACAAACATCAACTCAGTGACCTCTAGATGTCCCCTTCCCCAGAGCTTTCATCTCATGAGCCAGTGTGATTTACAGATGATTTGCAATAGACAAATGAGAAAGGAAACTGTTAGAGTATTCATAGTTCAAATTCAGTTCCAAGCCTAACCGATTGAGATGCAAGACATTTTTTAACGTCTTCTGCTGTGTCTGTTCAGGAGGTAAAGAATTATTTTGTCACTGCCTTAATCTACAAAGTATTGCACAGTGGAACTGTGGTAGGTGGCCTGCATTTTATTGTATAGTCAAGTTGTTGCTATGAGGAGATTTTCATATTGCTTTGTGGATAAAATTACTCCTCTTAACCAACTCTATCTGCTTTCAAAGCAATTTCTTATGAGAACAGGCACACACAATCATCTCTGCTTGAGTTTCGATGTGCCTCACTGAGTCCTGGCTGTGCTGGGGTGCTTCAGGTTACAAATTTTGAGTTGAACCTCTGTCCATCCTGGCTGGTCAAGTCCATGACCTTCTGTTGCCTCACATAAAATTTGGGACAGCATTATATATAAGAGACCAATAATACTGATGGAACAACTTTTCCAAGTCCCCCTATTGTCATGGGTTTAGAATATTCTTCAAAGTTAAATTTTTGGCATGACATTTCTTGGTATTGGTCTCACCCAGAATCCAATTTGGTGTGGAAAGTTTGATTTTTTTTTTCTATTCAATCCCTCCCCCCCCCCCACTTTTTTAAATAAAAAAATGTACTATATTTTTTTTGTCCCTAGTTCCGTGAATAAAGCCTTCGCATGAAACAGCCTCTCATTTATGTTGTCACTGCTTGTCCTACTTATTCCTCCTTTAATCCTCTGTTTAGTATAATATTTGACATCATGATGACTAATGCCTTGTTTTCATGTAAATGTCCTTGGTAACATAAAGGGGAATGAATATACAAATAGAAATACAAATAATCAGCTTAATTTTTACTAAATGTTTTTTTTTGGGGGGGGGGAGTGAGGGAAGCCGTTCTAATAAAATAGACATGCATAATGTAATTTTTTTTTTTTTAATACAGTGGCCCTAATCGAGGACATTATATTGCAATAGTGAAGAGTCATGATTTTTGGTTGCTCTTTGATGATGATATTGTAGAGGTAAGTGTTGCTGTAACTCTGGTGTTTTTACTTCTTCTAAACAAAAGTCTCCCCCCATCCCAACACCTTATTTATGATCACTTAAAGATTAAAAGGAATGGTGTGCTGATACTCTGAAGATAAAAAATATCTTCAGCTACATTTCCTTTCTCTTCTAAACTAGAGAGATTTAGTCCTTGTTCTTTGAGTACAGTCATGTTTAAATATTTATTGGAGGAGGAGAAAGTAGAGCTGTTTGTTCAAAATGTATATATTTTTGGATCAATTTCCAGAGGAACTGCTTTTGACCAAAAGAAGAAAAATCTGTGCTAGGGAGACAGCTAATAGTCATAGCTTAGATAGAGGTAACTCTGCAAGAAAAATTTGCTAAGTTTTCGTGCCTATCCTTCATGACAGTCTTCTCTGTAATATCTCTCAACCTCATGGGTAGATTAGAGTCTTTCAGAGAAGTACCTGAGACTCTGCAACTCTGAATCAAGCATGATGATTAATGGCAGATCTTTTTCTGCTTTTGCCACCTATGACCTTCACCTTTTCCTGGCAGGGAGGGAAAACTCTCTCAAACAAAACCACTCTTCCCATATGAGAGATGCCAGGGCCAAAGTGGAGGTCACATAACATTGGAAAGTATGGTCATATATCCCTCTGTAGTGAGTCTGTTTAACTAAACGTTTGACGAGGCCAGGTGGGACAGCCAATCCTTCCATTATTTGTTTTTCTTTTCTCCCAACACTCCTTGATCTAAACTCCATTACTCTGGTTGTTAGTGCCTGGTAGTAGTAGGGCCTGCTTGTCCAAGTTTTCTTTAAGGAGACAGATTCCCCACTGTCTTCTCTAATCCCTACCTTGACTTATGATAGAGATCATACAGCTTTCTTCACTGGAGGCTTTTGGAAGAGAGTTCTTTGAAGGATGCTGCTCTCCCCTTTCCCAAGCCCTGTGTGAAAACAACTTGTGAAGCTTTTGGGACCATTTCTCTCTCTACTGTTATGTCACCAAAGGGCTTTCTCTAGTTCATATAAAGAAAGAGAAACTCCTAACCCTAACCCAGTACCAGAGCATAATTTTTTTGCCACAAGAATTTAATACACTGGTGTAAGTGGAGTCTTCAGTCTTGGATTTACTGTGGATTGATTCTTAGAATCAAAAGGCTCATAGGAAGAGATGTTAAGTCGTAAGTGAATCCTTCTGTTTCCTTTTCCATAAGGAACGCAAAGGAAATTGAATCATGGAAGAAGTCAGATTCTGACACTGCACTCTCAAAAGAAATACAATTTCCAGTGCAATGCACTGATTCTGCTAGGAAGCATATTGACAGCATTCTTCTTGTCAGTGAAGAAGTAAGCCCTTCCAATGGCTAGCATAATGTCCCAGAAATAGTAGTGTGACAGGAAACTGGAGTCCAACTTGAGATGCAACGAGGACTTGAAAACCATGTGCATGTCATCAGCTGACTCTGCCATAGCATTGTACTCTAAGTTCCTGGGCATTTGTTTTCAAACCCTCAGCTGCTGAAGTATCAGTGTGTTCCAGGAAGATGATAAAGGCCTGTGTGAATCTTTGCTTGTTTTCCTACTTCTTTTACAATTCCTTTTTGGATATGGTCATCCTGCTTCTCTCTTCTGGTCATTAATGTCACTGGATAATCCTGTGGCAAAAGACATGGCAGGTAGAGCGGTAGATAAAATGGATGCTTACTACTACTCTCTTTAAGAGCAAGAGACTTTTTGGACAAGCATTACTCCAAGCTCTTTAGGGATACAGGAATTGACATACTGAATCAGAGCCATGGTCCAACTAGTCCAGTACCCTGTCCTTGACTGTGGCCATCACCAGATGCTTCAGTGAAAGATGCAAGAAATCCCATAGTAAGCAGATATAGAGTCACTTGTCCCTCCGGAAGGTTTAATTCTAATCCCTAATAGTTGGAGATTGGTTTAACTGTTGAAGTATGAGGTTTTATGTCCTTTCCAATAATCTTTTTGTTAGTTTTAACTGTAGTAATTCTGGATATTCTTGTTATCCATATAAACTCTTTAAATCCTGCTAAATCCTTGGCCTCAATAACATCCTGTGTAAATGAGTTCCACGCTCTAATTAAATGGGTGGAAAAAGTATTTTCTTTCATCAGTTTTGACTTTGCCACCTTTTAGTTTCATTGGATAGTCCCTTATTCTTGCATTGTGAGGCAGAGACAACAGAAGCTTCTAATGTCCGTTCTCTATTCTATTCACACAACAAAAATTAAGGATAGAAATCAGCTTCTGTGGAGGAGCGATTAAAAAGACTGGGACATTTCAGCTTGGAAAAGAGACTACTAAAAGGGGAATGTGATAAAGGTCTATAAAATTGTGAATGGTGTGGGAGAAAGTGAATAAGGAAGTGTTTACTCCTTCACATAACACAAGAACCAGGAGTCGTCCAGTGAAATTATTAGACAGCAGGTTTAAATAGACAAAAGGAAGTACTTTTTCACACAACCTGTGGAACTTGTTCCCAGGGGATGTTGTGAAGGCCAAAACTAATGGGGTTCAAAAAAGAATTAGATGTGTTCATGGAGATAGGGCCATCAATGGCTATTAGCCAGGATGGGCAGGGATGATGTCCCTAGCCTCTGATTGCCAGAAGCTGGGAGTGGATGACAGGATATGAATCACTTCATGATTGCCTGTTCTGTTCATTCCCTCCAGAGCACCTGGTATTGGCCACTGTCAGAAGACAGGACATTGTGCTAGATGGACCATTGGTCTGACCTAATATGGCCATTCTTATGTTGTTTATGCTTCTATCGTGTCTCCTCTTATTTTGTCTCCTGTCTTTTCTAAGGTAAACTGTCCCAGTCTTTTCTCTCTTATAGGAGTTTTCTTGTGCACCTAAATAATTCTTGTCAGCCTTCTGAACTTCCTCTAATTTTGCAATATCCTTTTTTTGAGACGGTATAACTAGTATTGCATATAGTATTTCAGATGAGGCCATTGTGTTGATTTATGACTTCATTTTTCTCCTTATGCCCCCTATCATCTTGACTGTTTTTTCTTTAACCATAGCTACACTCAATAGAGGTCTTAATTGAACTGCCCACAGTGATGCCCAAGTCTCTTCCTTGAGTTCATTTAGAACCTATAAGGTGTATTAGTAGTACATATTTTTCTCTACAATATGCAAGAACTGCTTAATGAAAAAGAACACTTTGCTTGAGATACCAAGAGGTCAGTCTTCCCTTTCAGTTGCCGGCACCAATCAGGCTACTGAAGACGTCTTCCTGGGGGGGGGATTCAAAGATGATTGATGGGTGGTCTTAGTTGTCCTGACAGGATACTCAGTGGATTTTAAGATACCGCCACAGAGTGAAAGGTTCACTCGCCCACTAGTAAAGTGGATGGTGCTAGGACAGGCCTTGCAACTGCTCAAACATCAAGGTATATATCTCACTAGAACCTGAGCGAGAATGTTTTTCAGGAATTTACTGGCGCTTGCATTCCCAAAGAAGTCTGGCTGGTACTTGATCTTAAGTAGCTCTATTTGGTGCTTCAAGATGGAAATGATCCAATTAGTCATCACAGCAGTGGAGGCAAAAGATTAGATTATATCTAATTGATCTGAGGAAAAGAATGCTTATTTCCACATTCCTGATGTATGAATTATATCTGTGGCTTTTTCTGAATCAAGAGTTCTTTTTGCCATATTGCCTTTAATTTGGCTTCAGTTTCTGTTGTTTTCCCAAAAATCATCATGATGGTGGTAGCATCTGGCAGCTCTTTGCATCCTGCTCTGTATCACAGACTAGAGGCTCTTCATCCAATTTAAGTGTCTATGGTCCTGATAGCTCATAATTTTTTAAAGAGCCAGTTGACCTTTTCTCCTCTTAATGCTCAGCCCCCATCACTGTCTAAGTTGGTCTAATTTATTACATTCTGATTAGTCCTACTTATAAGTTCAGTGCTGATTCTAAGTTCTTATATGTGCATAGCCCATGCTGAGTTTTGGCCCCTCATCAGAAAAAAAATCTTGGTATTACCATTATAAATCACCTTTCTGTATGGGGAACCTATCAGAGGTTTTATTCATGGTTAGTCCATTTATTAGTATTAGATGTTCAAGTTACTTAAATTAGACAGAAGATGGGCTGCTGTGGAGGAAAGAAGATTTGGAATTTAAAAACAAAACAAAACCTTAAAAGCCTTATAACCCTTCTATAACCTAGGTTATCTGGAGAAAGGTAACTAACAGGTGAGACCAAAATATTTTGTCACTGTTTCACAAAGTGTAATTTAATAGAATATACATTTATCATAGTATATTTTTTCCCTTTAAAAATTAGTTTGTATTTTGTTTTCTGTAGAAAATAGATGCACAAGCTATTGAAGAATTCTATGGGTTGACATCAGACATTTCGAAGAACTCTGAGTCTGGTTACATTCTCTTCTATCAGTCTCGGGATTGAATGGGAACTGTGGTGAAGAGAGATTTTATGCCTCGTTTCTTCTCTGGCTATGTTGGAATGGAGCAAGCACTGATTTAAAAAAAGGAATGCAGGGAGCTCCAGGGACAGTAGCGCAGTTTGCACACAACAAAGCAAAGTTTGGATTTTTTTTTTAAACCCTTCATATCAAGTTCATTTTATTTGCTCAGGTATCATGCTGACTACACAATTTTACTACAACTGCTAGGAGAAAAGAGAGATACCAGCCACTCTTGCAGGAGCAACCTTCCAACAGTTAACACATTTTTTTTTTTAAGTCCTGAGTCAGAGCCCTTAAAATCAATGGAAAGACTCCGATTGATTTCATTGGGGTTTGGTTCAGGGCTAATTGCAACAATCTGGCAGTGCAATAGAAGCAATATAAATCTGGTATTTTATACTGATTTCTTATTTGAAAAGACAGAATTCTTTGTGCAGTAATTTGTCTGTATTCAATTCTGAAAGAATATGGTGGGCAGGGTTTTTTTTTGTTTGTTTTTCCTGGGTTCTTTCATATATAAACAAGAAATATACTTGGGACAACACAGTTGCCTTCTTGACGTAACAGATTAACTGAAAAGATAAACTAGTGTCAGGGAGGCCAAGTATGTTTTGCTTCTCTGAAGAAGCTTACATTATAGTAATATATACCTATACTGTCGGGAACAATCAGTAAAAATTATGGCTTTTAATCTCCCTATGGAGAAAGATGGGGTTATTAATAATAGTTTATTTTTATTTATGAATTACTATAACTATTAGGGTCCTATGTATTGTCTTTGAGTATAACCAATCTTGAACATAATTTTATATATTAATTTGAATTAGATTTACTTATTCCATTTAAGTGGGGTTTTTTTAGGAAAAACAAATTCTAAATAAAATGCATAAAATGTCTTCTAAAAATTGGTAATACAGAAGGGGTATTTTCTCTTTCAGGAGGAACTGGTATCTGGCTTAATGTTTTACATTGTTTAATTATTAAATTAAAATTTGAATCTGTTTTTACTCTGATGAAAAAGCCAAGCTGTAAAATGTTTCCTGTAACTGTCTGAATGATGATTGTAAGAATGCTTATCGTAATGAAATGGTGGTGGTGTACCCCAATTCTTACTGTTCTTTATTCATTAAGGGTCCATACGCTAAATAATTTGTTAGAAAAACCTGGATCAAAATAAACAGTTTTCAAAATATCATTTCCTCCTCAGAAAATTGATCCATTCAGACTCCCAACAGCCTGGGTGACTTTCAAAAAACTCTCCAAATATGAAATGAAGTTGATAATAAATGAAATAATCTAGGAATGTAAAGGGAAATCAGTGTTTTGAGATTTTTTTCAAGTCCTATGAGGTGAAATTTTCTGAAATTAAAGTTTACCTTGCTTTGGGTTTATGAAACAGCATTAAGATTTAAATAATAGCACCACCAAGTAATAGATGTAATAAGAAATATGTGAAATGTTGTGATTTGATATTTTTCCATGCATCAGTTTGTTGTCTGACAGTGGCTGAATGTAATTTCTGGAAAATGATGGAATACATATTTCAGATTATGGCTATCAGGTCTTGGATGTCCTTGTCATCCCATTTCAGATGGTGATTTTTACTTTATTGTAATTTTCTAAGATTATTTTATTGATATTGTTGAAACCTTTAAAAAGAATGTCTGCTGCTATAACTAATATATTTACTTACCTGTATTTTTAACTCAGGAAAAGACTTCACCTATTCATTCAGTTGAACAAATTTTGAACAGGGTCACTAAGTAAATTGGGCTATTTAACAAATATGAAAGAAAATTCTTGTCATATTATAACAGATTGCTTTTATAAATGCAGTTTCTGAAGCCTTGGCTTGGCTGAAATTCTTTTCTATAAATTATGTAGCTTGGCTAAACTACCAGAATGCAAAGAAAAGCATAACATATTTTGGGAGAGGCATAAAAATATAATGGATTGGATATTTTTAAGGGCTTATACCAAATTATGTTAGAACCTAAATCTGTTTTTCTAGGTTTCAGTGGGAAAAGAGTGAGGGGTGAATCAGTTGGACCATAGTTCATGTCAGAAAGATGAAGTCCCTTGCATTAAATGTACAGCTTTGTAAAACCATTGTCACATTAGTTTTTGTTAACTGATGAATGTTTGCTCAGTCATTTTACAGTTTTAAAAAATGTATGTAGTTAAAAGCCAAGCTTAGTTGCTAAACACATTGTAATACGGTAACAAAATTTAAAGCATTTTTGTTTTACTGGTACCACAGGATATTTTGCTTTACTCCTGCGACATATTTTTATAAAATGGTGATTTATTTTGGATAGGGTTTTTTGAGATTGTGGTTCCAAATGATGGATTTAATTTCACTTCTAGTGCAGCTGAAAAATGTAAGTAAATTCTTGATAAAATCAATACCAGAAACTACAGGCAGAGGAAATACAAAATGTAACTGAACAATATAAAAAGCATTATAGGATTACCTCTTGATTGTAATTGCAATGGGGAGTGTGAGAAGAATCTTCACTTGTAAATGGTGGAAATGATTTCTGTGTAACTATGTAAATGTTAATTGGGATGACAGGTCCCCTATTTTGTATATTGGAGCAAAAACTTCTATTAAATAATAAAATATGTTCTCTGAACGTAAGTACTGTATTCTTTGTATAGCCCTACTGTTGAGTCACATGGTCTCTGGTGCTTTTGTAAAGTTCTTGAAACTTGTAAAAATGTCTAGAATTTCCTGCTTTAAGGAAGCAGCCATGAGCCATAGAGGAGAGAGTAAGGTATTTACACTGTAGTGGTCTTAGCAATGAGGTCCTATACTTAGCTTACAGGATAAAGCCTGACTTCTGAGGCCTTCGGCTTCCTCCTTGGTGCCCGACCCCAAAACCTGCCTCCCTTTCAGTCAGGTTCCCCTTCCCTTGGGATCCGCCAATGATTGCTCCAGGAGCAGAAAATAAATAAAAACCAAAACTGTTCTTATGATCACCCTCTCCTTCTGTAGCTGTGATCACTGAACACTCTCTCTTTACCTTTATCGTTGCAGAATTATTTACTGTATTATACTGACCCTTCAACCAGCCCTTAAATGTTTTGTCCAGGCTTCCTAATTCTTTTAGGATCAAGACTCAGGCTATCAGTTTAAGCAGTAATTCCTTTAACAAGGTACGTTTTAAAATCATCTTTGATGTTACTTACCTTTAGAGCTCTTTATTTAAACGAAACCGGTTTCTAGATGTGTGTACATTTGGTGTGTGTATGTGTACAAACACTGAATCCAGCCAGGCCTAAAGGCTGCCAGATGTGCATGTGTGTATGTCAAATCCGGCAAGGTAATGAAAATATTCCGGGTAGAATTACAACACCGGTCACACCTGAGTGCCTTTTGGACCTGCACACGGGTGCCAGATATGCGAGCGGGTATGAGTATTTAATGAAGTTGTGTGTATTGAGAGTGTATGTGTGTATTTGTCAGAAAACAGAAAAAGGGGGAGGAAAGAAGAGAGAGAAAAAAATATTACTACTTGGTGTTAGCACCCCTTATGGGAGAAGAGGATGACTATACCCTCCTGGACCTTGAAATAAAGCTTTCGAGCTTCAGGGTTTAAAATAGCACCTCAAGCCCACTAATACAGGGACGCCAAATATGTTACCCTAACATTGAGATGCCAATTATGTTACTTACAAATTTGTCTAATTTAACCAAAGGGTAACAAGGTTGTGGCCCGCCCTAAAGGAATTGCCAGGGGTTACCAGGGAACTTGTCTGTGACCCACTGAGGGCACCCCAGAGCACGTTAGTCTTGCTAACCCCTGAAAGGACACGGATACAGCCTTCGGCTCACGGATAGACGCACAAGCAGTAATTCTTTGAAAACAAAAGAATTTTTTATTTAAAAAAAAAGTGGTTACATTGTATTTAATAAATCAAGAAAGAATATATAGAACATAGTAAAATGCAATAGAATTACATTTAAAGGATTGTATAGTTAAAGTGGCACAACAAAATAAAGGACACAGACTGCATAAGATATCTAATACATACAGAAAATGCAGTAGTTTCAATGTAACTTGCATATAAAGAGCCCGTATACACAAAGGCTTTTAGTCTGTTACAATCTAACCCCGTACTTAATACATTGTGGCATACGTAGTCTCTATATATACATATGAGAAACCATCATCATTTTCACAGACTAAAATAAAACATTTACTTTAACATTAACATTAACACTAAAACTAAACATTTAATATCCTGTAAGTGCTGGCCAAGCAGTTGCAAAACAGGTAGGGGAGATCTTACTCAAGATGCAGGCATCCAGTTTTATTTACAGACAGACCCATACACTCTTAAATAATAGGTAGAAAAGATCAGACTTACACTTCTGTTCAAATTCCCTCTGTACCGTCTAATTTGGTCCTTCTGATCTGTCTAATCTCTGGATTGTTGCTTCCACAGCTGCAGTCTCTTCGAGCTGTGATGTAGTGGCCATTGCTGCTGGCAAGGTAGCTGAGGTGTCTCGCTACTCCTGCTCTTCTAGAAACCCCAAAAACCCATTACAGTCTCAGCCTGCTGGCTGTCAGCCTTATATACTGGTTGCTCTCTCAAGATCAGCTCCTCTCAGCCAATCAGCTTCTAGCTTTCTAGCTCCTCCCCTGATGTCATACTTATTTTAGACATAGAGTTCCTCCCCCTGATGCCATCTTGGGTAAAAGCTCCTCCCTCTAACCTGAGCCCCTTCCTGCACCCCAACTCTCTGCCCCAGGCTCAGCCCAGAGCCCCCTCCCATATCCCAACCCCCTGCCTGGTGAAAGTGAGTGAGGGTGGGGGAGAGAGTGAGCGACAGAGAGATAGAGTGACCAGGGCGGGGCCTCTGAGAATGGGCAGGGAAGGGGGCGGGGCAAGGGTGTTTAGGTTTGTGTGATTAGACAGTTGGCAACCCTAGTACAGACCCATGGGGGACACCACTACCGCTCTCCAGTCTGAAAACTGACCATTTATTCCTACCCTTTGTTTCTGATCTTTTACCAATCCATGAGAGGACCTTCCCTCTTATCCCATGACAGTTAGGGGGCTTGTTCCTTCATCCTCTCACTTCCCTGGTCCTTCTCGCATGAACAGAGAGCAACTTACATTTCAGGTGCACAAAACACGCTGGTGGACAGTCTCAGCAGATTATGTGTGGGAGATGCACAATTCAATCCCTAACAAAATCTTCACTCAGTATTCTTGAGACCTGTTAAGGGCTTGCTTGAAATAGCCCTTGATTGACTCTTGGGTGGCCGCGCAGCTTAGAGGAAACACAGCTGGTAAGTGAATACATTGATTTTTGTGAAACTCAGAAATTACCTTAGGAATGAATTTTGAACTGAGATGAAGGAAAAACTTCTCTTTGTGAAATGTGGTGTGTGGTGGGTTGGCCATGAGTGCTCCAAATTCTGGTTTCTGGCTGATGTAATGGCAATCAGGAAGGCGACCTTCATAGTCAGGTGGGACATTGAGCATGTGGCAAGAAGCTCAAAGGAAGGTCTGGTAAGTATTGAAAGTACAAGATTGAAATCCCATTATGGTGTTGTCTTCATTACTGGTGCGAACGTCCTCGTCATATCCTTTAAGAATATGGTAGTTCTTAGATGAGTAAAAACAGAAGAGTCTTCTGTTGGAGGGTGGAATGAATGGATAGCTGCTAAGTGGACTCATGACGAGCTAACAGAAGGGTCTGACATCTTGAGGGTGAGGAGGTAGTCTACAAAGGCAGGAATACCTGCTCTTTTTGGGAATACAACTGTTTTCTGTTGTGCCCTGTAGAGAAATGTCTCCCTCTAGCTAGATAGCATATTTTGATGGAGTCTGATGGAGTGCGAACGGAAGAATCCTGTACTGAATGTAATGATCTGCCGTGAATCTCAGGAAATGTCTGTTGTCAGGATGGATGTCCACATGAAAGTAAGTATCCTGCATACTGAGAGCCATAAACTACATGCCTCTTTCTAGGGAAGGAATGATGACTGCCAGAGTGACCATGCAGAAGAAATGGTCGAGATGACAGAGGTCCAGGATCAGTTGCCACCCGTGTTTCTTTGGGGACTAGGAAATAAGTGGAATAGAACCCTGCTCCCTGGGAACAGGTTCTATCTCTCCCCTCAGCAGTAGGGAGTCCACTTCTAGGATGAGGATACTGTTGTGAGAGTGATCCCTGAAGGGGGGTCAGAGTGGGGGATGTGGACCAGGAAGCATTTTGAACTCAATCATATAGCTATGTCCAATGACATCAAGGACCCAACTTGTACATTATCGCACTCCAAGCTGGCAAGAAGAGTGCTAGGTACCCGCTGAAGTGGGTGGGCCAGGAGCACAGCATGAGTAATGGTGGTTGGCAGCTCTGAGTGTATTCAGAAATAGCACTTCTCAGATAATTGAGTGTGAGATGCAGAAGATTGTGATGACAATGAACTGGAGGGACAGGGTCACTGGGTCCTCTGCTGTTTGCGAGGGGGCTCATAGGACCGTGGTTGGAATAATTGGGGAGTTTTGAACCACTGGGTCGAAGGTGGACAGTAGAGTTTGTGCTTGGTTGCCAGTTTGTAGGTGCCCAGCGACCAGAGGGTGGCTCTAGAGTACTTGAGGGAGTGAAGGGAGTCATCAGTCTTCTGATTGTACTCGTCGAAGGGAAGATCTTCTATGGTGGTCTGGACTTCCTTCAGAAAGCCAGAGGAATGTAAACAGGATTCTCTGCACTTGACGACCCAGTAGCCATTGTATGCAAAGAGGTGTCCACTGTGTCAACCACGGCCTGAAGCTTTGTCCTTGACACCTGTTTCCCTTTCTCTAGGATAGCCTGAAATTGGGCCTGATCCTGCTGGGGGAGCTTGTTAGTGAAATCCATGAGTTTACTGTAGGTAAGGAAATTATATTTCGTGAACAGAGCCACGTAGTTCGAAATATGAAATTGCAGGCTGGCAGAAGAAAAGACCTTGCAGTCCAAAAAGTCCAGGTGCTTTGCCCTCCTTATCTGCCAGGGTGGGTTGGGTCTGTTCAGTTGCTGCTTGAATAACAAGAGAGTTGGGTGGAGGGTTGGAGAAAAGAAACTCAGAACCCTTCAAAAAGCAACAAAGAGTCCTGTGGCACCTTATAAACTAACAGACGTATTGGAGCATAAGCTTTCGTGGTGAATACCCACTTCGTCAGACGCACGGCTACCCCTCTGATACTCGGATCCCTTCAGAGGCACATAGTACCGCTTTCCCACCATTTTGGGGGTAGGTTTGTAGGTGGCCAAAGTGTGCTGAACAGTCCCAGCTGGTTGAATGATGACCTCATCAATTGGTAAAGCCACCCTGGCTGGTACCAAAATGTGTAAGATGTCGAGCAGTTGCTGCTGTTTATCTTGCACTTCCTCCAGTGGGATGTTGAGGGCCCTGGCCACCCTACGAAGCAGTTCCTGAAATTGTCAGAAGTCATCTGGGGGTGAGGGTGGAGCTGAAGACACTGGGGCATCCAGGGAAGAAGAGGAGAATCGCTCCAGATCCAGTGATACCATTGGAGTCGGGTTCAGTGGTGTGTCATCTAATGGCATATCCGAACACCTGCTGGATGACCATTGGAGAAGGAGAGAAAAGAGGTCCCTCACGGGCAGAATGTG